CCAAACGACCTCCACCTGTTCTTGTCACCAAAGGCGACAATGTGGTCATTCCATCCAAAGCCTCTGTTTTCCCTAATCCTAAAATCTCATTGTACAAAGACAATGCAATGGAATCATCGTCATCTTTGGTTGTCAGCAAGGTAAAAGCAAGTAATCCCTTGGGTCTCTACCACGTGTGGCAAAACGTTTCCACGGGCAATAGCCCGGAGCACTGGATACACAAGGGCAGAAAGGACCAAGCGGACCAAGAGGAAGACGTGATAAACGAGGGTTTCGAGGATCTCCTGGGATGCAAGGTCCACCTGGAGTACCAGGCTTACGAGGTCCGAGGGGAGTGCCAGGAACTGCTCTCTCTCTCTGGAAAAGATTCATCTATTATCCATTCACTTGGTGGGTATTTGACCAGAACAAAATCTCAAGCCAATACAAACTATTCAATGGTAAATACATGTCAAATTTACAATCTCATATACTGTTCRATCATTTTTGAAAGCTCTTCCAAAACTATCCAAACGACCTCCACCTRTTCTTGTCACCAAAGGCGACAATGTGGTCATTCCATCCAAAGCCTCTGTTTTCCCTAATCCTAAAATCTCATTGTACAAAGACAATGCAATGGAAACGCAATGGTTTCTCTTCAAAAGGGAAGCAACACAAGTCAAAGTGCCACAACATATTATTGYTACGCTCTTGTTTTGATCTTAGACAATAGGGCAATAAACAATCCTCTTCGTCTTGTTCTGATGACGTTCCTATCAATAAACCTGTGGATTCAGAGGTCCACAACTCAGATGGTGAAATTGAAGCCACAGCAGTGCTACAAGTTCTTGTACAAAAGCACAGATTCATCATGATGCTACCATAACTTAGGAATTTAAGCCCTGCCATACCAAAGACGATTTTGGAAGTGATTACATCCAAGAACTTCAGACAACATGGCTGGATGAATKTGTTCCCAAAACCTGATCACCGAGATGAATCAATTTAWATGGGTATCAGTTAAAGTAAACTTCTGCAGTTCAGAGTAATGCCTTGCAATGCACCAGCCTCTTTGGACAGAATTGGTACATCTACTCRATGGGTTAAGCTGCATGATCAGCAGCCAATGAACCTGGAGTGACTTCAATTGGACAATGTGTGTCATCATCATGAAAGTTCTAGGTGAAATTTGTCTGATCTGTGCTGATGATTTCACTGAAAGTGCCTTAAATAGAATTGCTCCATCTGGTAAGCGCTACTCAGCAACTGTTCTGTTCTTTTTTTATGCTACTACATTCTTTTTTGTTACTCTTTAAAGCATGAAAATTTGGCCACATCTTCAACTGCATGTGTCATCCATGAATTGATTTTAGGGCTGTTCCATTTGCTAACTATCAGCACTGTAAAAATTCCGAAGACCGTGAACATGAGTACCGATACATGTAAATCTTTTTTAAATAAGTGCCCAACATTTACTTGCTTGATTGATGAAAAAATTGCCCATATCAAAAAAATTGTGTTAAATACAAAATCTTTTTAACAGCTTTACTTTGCAGTTTAAAAAGGAGAGTTTGCCCAATGTGCATGTTTGAGACAGCATCAAACATTTTTTATTGCAAGAGCTTGATATTTCTTGTTTAAAAGAAATGACAATTGTCATAAAAAGAACRATGATTTTAAGGGAAAAGATAAAGAGCATTCTTGCTACTAAGCCTAAGTTAGGCTTTGGTGAAGAAAAGGAATACAAAAGTTTACTGTATAGTAAAGACAAAAAGAAAAAGAATAAAACCCAAGAATAGTGACCTCAGTTGACAGAGTTTAAGATTTCAGAGACGTTTTTAAGTTAAAAATTCTTGTTCATTTATCAAAATGTTTACAACAATATACTTTGCAACTTGTTCAATGAATACAACATACTGATAACTTTTCAATAACTGTCACATTGTTTCACTATAAATTGTTTTATATAATTTGTTATCATTGAATCAACTTATTAAATTTTTGCCATTAATAAGTGAAGTAGTTTTTAGTTCCTGACAATGCAAGATCTATTAGGTTTCACTGTTTATATTATGGTAGATCTATATAGCAATAGCAAAAATGCACCCTAACATTTGTATGGTGTCATGGTAATAGCCAATTTGTTGACATGGTAGTAAATAATAGCAAGCAATGTATAGCTGAGGTAGCTGGAAGAAGATGTTATTATAGCAGTCAATGTGAGGTTATTGTAGTTGTAATAAGGTGTCATAGTAGCAGTCAGTGTGATGTCATTGTAGTTGTAACAAAATGTCATAGCAACAGTCAATGTGTTGTCATAGTAGTCGTAATAAGATGTCATAGTAACAGTCAATGTGTTGTCCTAGTAGTTGTAATAAGATGTCATAGTAACAGTCAATGTGTT